TGATAGCGCACAAAACACATCGAGATGGAGAAACCCCAATTACCTCTGTTGAAATACAAAAGTTGGGGACAATAAGTGGAGGTGGGGAATATTGACGCAGGTCCATCGAAGCGGAGGCCGTGAGCATGGGAAAGTACCATTCTGCCAATGCCTCGACAAACCTCTTCGTGCGATCGCACAGAGTACTCCCGTAGCCCTTCCACATAGAATCCCAGGGACGGATTCTCTCGAATGATGAGTCCGTTGTTCTCCCCCCCAAACGGTGCCGTTGGAGTCAGGAGATCCTGCGGTACAGGTGATGACACATCTGTTGGAGTGTTGCATTCACACTAGCCTTAAGACCTTCAGAGACTTTGCCATTGATGATTTGAGGTATTGAAGTTTGTATCCGTTCGAAGTTGCAATTCAAGGTATTTTTAAGGGGAAGCGACTAACAGCCTAGCTAGTGTCGTAGTCTATAATAGTCACCTTGGGTTGGGTTACTCTGGTCAGCTTCGAAGCCGCCAACCACTCTACAGCACCATTCGTGAGGTGTATCGTTGGCGTTCGTGGCGCATGAGGGTAACAAGAGAGAAAACAAATGGAGGATAGCCGTAGACGTTTATCCTTGCACGCTGATGACCAATCAAGTGTACCGTACGCCCGCACCTGCACCGTCTCATTGTAGATCTGGAGGAGAGACACCTTGACCTTCACCGAAACGTCTGCTAGTGTCCCACCATCGGACGAAACCGATGACGCTTGCACGTGCTCAAACACCCGGGAGAGGGCACGAGGGATTATTCCAGGATCTGTTTGGTTATGCGAGGAGATCTGGGCACCATTCATCATTCCGCACTGCCGGAAAGGAGGTTCTCTATCCTTAGTACCTCCCAGTCTTCTCTTGCCCAATTCCGCCTCGGAGAGGTCAACGCCTCGAAGAACGCCCATGGAATGCGACTTCCCTGATGCCGTCTGGCCATATGCCATGATGAGGCCATTGAACCCCGTCAAGCAGCCGTCTACCACTGGTGCAGCGAGACTGGTTGGAGATTGGACGCCAGGAGAGTGTTCCGGTTGGCGGGATGGAAGAGGTCGTCCGACTGGTTCCAAAGACGGTGTGCCTTGAGGGTGTACACGCTGTATGGATGAGTTTGCTGGCATTCTTCGTGTTTGTAAGTCTGAAGTCTAGACTACACTAGACTAGTCTAGACTATGTGGTGCGGCATGTACCGTACGGGCCCGCAACTAAGAAGCAGAGGATCACATCGAAACACAAGATGCACAGGGTGAAGACACACAGCTCGGCGTTATATCCGTCGCTAGCTCTATTCAACAACCTGTGCACGACGGTGGCGATGAACCATGTATAGTCTATACCGCAGGGTCTACATGTATATATAGACTAGGAGCCTAACCCGACATTGACATTGCGAGCCTGTACTCTAGCCTAGACTAAAGACTACACACTACAGTGTACCACAGTTTCCACATGCCTTTGGTACAATTCGCGTTGTTGGCACGTTGCGTCGAAAGCGTAATCGAAAGGGAAGCTGCGCTGTCTCCCGTTGGCTATCAGGTCCACACATCCATGCCTTGAGATCTTCACCGCAGGTCGGTACCCGCCGGATCTTTTCTGATAGTAGTCAACCTCCGACACGAATGGTGGACGTATCCGCACCCCAACGCGTATCCGAGAGCTCCGGCCAGTCGATCCAGTGAGGTTTTCATGATGCTGTGCGGGTTTTAGCTCCTCCGAAGCTGCGCTTTGCCCGTCGAAAGTACTGCTGCCGCCCCCGCCGCGACACGTAGAACGAGACCTTGATGGTGTGATGACTCGCCGTCTTGGTGGCAGACTTCGGCACCGAGAATGAAGCACGTCGCGCTCTCGACCGTTCCAGGACCTCCGGGACGCTCCTCGTTGAGTGCTACAGGAAGAGAATGTACCGGCTGGGGATGCCATAGTCCTCTTTGTCAACGGATCCAGGATCGGCCCAACAGGATCTGAGACACGTGATGTGATCACATGTAGTCTAGATGAAACAGTCTAGTCTGTGCAGTAAAAAGATGTAGCGCCGAAGCCCCCCTCCCCCTCGTGTATGCCAGATTCGCGCCCCTGCCGGGCAAGCAAGCAAGCAAGCAAGCAAGCAAGCAAGCAAGCAAGCAAGCAACAACAACCAACTAGACCACGAACACAGCTGAAGCAAGGAGCTGTGTGGTGTGGAGAGCAGCAGACAGCAGTTGGGGAGTGAGAGGGGCTGTGATGACCGAGCCAGCAGCTCGTTCGGTGATTGATGAAAAGAAAAGGTGCGGTTGCAAGTGCTCTCAGAGATAAGTTGTGTTGCAGCGATGTGCACAGCAGTTATGTGTCGTTTCTGAGGTCGGTGCAGCGGTGTTCCTGCTGCTGCTGTGTGGGTACGTCGCTGTTCCTTGACTTGTCGGAAACCAAAAGGGTAGATGTAGGAGGTGGCGGAAAGGGACAGCCCGTTGGCTTTTGTTCTGCCTTGTGTGTACGTTGAGCGGCATGCGCTGCATAGCTGGCAGACAAAAGCGGATGAACACCCAACACACAGCAGTTTGGAGATGTATTCTGTTCCTGCTTACGCAACGCTGGTGTGCTTGTCGGAGTTGCTCTTAGGTGCTCGGCCACCTGTCGTACCCTTCACCGTGCGATGTTGTATCAGATATTGGTCGCTAGCCAATACCGGTGTCTCTAATTTGGACGTGTTCCACACGTTGAGTTTTCCACCGGACGTGCCACATACCTGCACATACCGCAGTATGTTGCGTAAAATATCACACCCCCCGGACCGATTTTCAAAGCCCCATTACTCCACACGACGAGGATGCCGAAATTGAAGCCGGAAGTGTACGTTTTTCGGAAAGCCCTCGACGAGACGGTTCCAACGCCGCCATTATTGGCACCGTCACTGATTTTCCTGCCGAGGTATCGAGCTTCGAAAATTGATCCAGAGGATTGTGTTATCTTACGCAACCTACGCTACCGTACGTTGCGTGGGATACCACACCCCTTTGACCTAATGTCAAACGTCGACTGCTCTATGCATACATGCACTCCATGACGAAAATAATGCCTATGCCTAAATCAATTCCTAATCAATTGGGACCTTTCGAAGAGTTCCAACGCCATCATTATGGGCATCGCCATTGTTGTTGCTGCAGAGTAATCGAGCTTTGAAGATCACTCTGGGTGTGGGGTATCCAATGCAATCTACGGGATGTACCTGCCTTCCACGCCCATAGCGTTTGTACCACTTGACAGCTCACGGAGTCTGCAAAGGGTAGCGAAATAGCTGCTGTTTGAAACGCCTCTAAAGATGTGGATACATGGACCATCCTGGTAACGTAGCATGATAACTGTGTAGGAGATTTTTTTTTTTGTCTCAACTTCAAATCAGCGCTCACAGCACTAGTGCCGTTTACTCCAACCTGTAGTCACACAGAAGAGCCCCTCTCTACCCTCCCCTCCTGCGGTACGTTGCCTTCGATTGTTATTGCGACAAGAATTCAGCACTCTCTTCCCTCTGTGTACACACGAACTAGCACTATCCACTAGGCCAGGAGCGAAAGCGAGAGAAAAACTCACTTTGCAAGAGAAGCTCGCTTACGCCGGGATTCGAACCCCTGACCTGATCTCTAGAAGGTTTCGAGGATACCAACTAGACGACCGGGGCGACCGACGGCAGATATGATGGAAAACATAAAATATTTTGCGTTCTTTTTTCAGGAGAGACATTACAACGAAGTTGGCACAGGCTGGACTCGAACCAGCCATTTCGCGACCACGGAGGTCGTCGCCTTTGTGGCGTGCCTCGCCTCTACCCTACTGACTCCCTACCCCCGCCCTGCCCCCCTCTGTATGTGTGTATGTGTGTTTCTGTATCTCTCTCGCTCTTGTCTCTGTTTCCCTCTCTTTTCCCTCCCTGGCTTTCTGTCTCGGTCTCTGTCTCTCGATCTCTCTCTCTTTATCTCTCTCTCTCTCTCTCTCTCTCTCTCTCTCTCTCTCACTCTCTATGTCGGGATATCCCTCTCGCCCTCTCTGCCTCTCGGGATCTCTCGGGATTTCTCTCTCGGGATCTCTGTCTGTCTGTCTTTCTGTCTGTCTCTCTCTCGCTCTCTCGGGGTCTCTGTCTGCCTGCCTGTCTGTCTCTGTCTCTCCCTCTCTGTCTCTGTCTCTCCCTCTCTGTCTCTCTCGCTCTCTGTCGGTCTCTCGGGTCTCTCTCTCTGTCGCTCGTCTGTGTTCACCTCCCTCTCCTTGCGTCTTACCTTAAAGGTTTTCGGAGACGGCGTTGTGGAAACTCCAGCGGGAGTTCTACGAGAAGAGCGAGGTGCGTAATCCGTAAACCGCACGTTCACACGAACGCACGAATCAATCTCTGTGACGCTCGCCGTACGATTGCGTTGGCCACAAGAGCGCAGCCCAACTTGCGCGATCCACCGCCGGTCGATTGGCGTAGCTTTTGGAGAAGCAACACGACATCGCTAGACATGTGTGTCAGCATGTTGAATGAGCTTTGCGCAGATATTTCTCGTACCAACCACGTGTAGCATTATGTCTAATCAAATGGAGAGGAGGGGGTGATTGCGATTTTCCTCAAAACACAGTCTACAACCGGGAAGGCAAGCTTTCGTGAAGCCGAATACAGTATCGCAACCCAATGACCTGACGGTGCTGCATGCCCTGACTTTGACGGACGGCAAGTCCGCACCGTGCCCTTTTTGCTTCCACGCGGGGGGGGGTATGCTATCGAAAACGGGGAAAACGGCGCCCCTTGTGCCAACCCGTTGCCCCCCCATGCAAACCGATGGCGTGGCGTGGCGTGGCGTACAAGTCCTTCGCGTCTGCCTAAAGCGTTCCGTTTACTCTGCGCGCGCGTGTAGTGCAGCGGTTTCTCCCCAAATCCGGCATTCCTGCGTTGTGCTCCCTCGAAGCCCCTGGCAGTTTCGTGACACGTGCATCCTAACCCGTCACTTGTGATACCTTGGTATTCCCACTACACATGCACCGAGAGGTGCGTCGACTGACTGGCGCCAGAATAAATTGGGACGACACCAGTATTTCGCTGGGCGGCACATTTCTGAGTTTTTTTCTTGCTCGTGGCCTTAGGTGAAGTGCTGGCAGGAGTGCGTGGTGCCCAACTTCGTGACCTCCAACTGCTTCATCGCCCAGGCCTACGCGAGCGCCATCGCGAGTTTCCTCAGAGATCACCTTGGGAGGCGAGAAAAAGTTTGCGTGTTGTTGTATTCTGCGGCGTGTTTCTGCCGCTGTTGGCGTGGTTGGTCTCAGCCTTTCCTTGGCTCGCGCTTGATCCGACTTGGCCTCGAGAGCCCGCGTTTTTGTCGACTGACGCGCCTGAGCTCCATGGTGCGTCTGTTGATTGGGCGAGTTTTTTCTGTCGACAGTTTGAGTGTAGCGTCGGCCTGCTCTCTTGAGAAGGCCATCGGCACGGTTGGCTTTTTTACAGGGCGGCTGTGTGCTCTCGGCCTATTCTGAAGAACGTACCAGAGAGCAACACTTGGTGACACGCATTTGACCCGAAGGTGTCCGCGCCCCTGCAGCGGCTGTTGGTATGTGATGGGATTCCTCTTGTGAGTTCACGGCATTGACCATGAAGCACAGCGTAGGTTTCCAGGTGCCAGCTTGAAGCCATCTACACTCTGTGACCACGTTTTATTCGAAACCATTTATAAATGTACCTTCGTTGCCTTTGTGCCACTGTGTTTCGTTTCCTACAGGGATGGGTCGCGGTGGGGGAGCAGCCAGAAGCCGGTATACATTGTGGAGGTTGGTGAGTTGTGGGTGTGTTGGGGCTGGGGCTCGCCCGCGCCACTCATGGTCTGCCATACTTGTCCGTTTTGATCCGGAGTACCGTTGTACTGCTCACATGTGAAGCACTCAAACTAATCGTTTCCAGCACTGCTGCAATATTTGATGCACTCAGGCTGAGTTTGCTTGCACTGCTGCAGCTCGAATTACGGCACTGTTGTGAATCCTCCGGACACGCTCGATTGGTACAACGATCCTACCCACCCCAGGCGCCGGATCAGCCAAGCTGAGCTACGTGCTGCTCCAAAAGCTGCTGAAGCTGTCGGAGTATCTCCCTCGGCCGAGAGGTAACGCCGCATCCGATGGCGCTGCTTCTGCCGATGGTGACAACAACACCGCTACCGGAGGAAGGGGGTTCTGCTTCAAGTACGTCATCACGGACTTCTCGCACGCGAACTTCGGCTTCTGGATGAACCACCCCCGGCTGCAGGAGCTGTTCACGCTGGGTGTCGTAGATTTCGCCGTCTTCGACGCGGAGGCTAGGCCGGGGGAAGTAGGCGGAGGAAAAGGGACCACCAAAGGGGACGCTGAAAGCGAGCCACCGCCGTCGCCGGAAGAGGGCCCAGATCCTGCGGCGCCTGGGACTTGTGGTGGGGGTGGAGGGGCGGGGCTGTGGGGATCGGGGTGCCTACGGCTGGAGCTGTCTGGGGAGGAACTGCGACCGGGGGACCTGGACAACCCGGTCATTGTGGTGGCGAATTATGTGTTCGACTCGCTCAAGCAGGATGCCTTCCGGTGTGTAAAGTAGTTTCAGCCGTTCGTTTTAGGGGTAGAGCTTGTAGGTGGAAAGCCATGTTTTGGATTGGCTTTCGTGTTGAATTGTCGCTTAATTCGTTTTAGGGGTAGAGCTTGTAGGTGGAAAGCCATGTTGTGGATTGGCTCTCGTGTTGAATTGTCGCTTTATTCTGGGGTGAAGCTTGTTCACCGGACAGCTTTGACGGTGTGTACAGCAGTAGTCAATAAACGGCTCGACATCCTTACTACCGTGAGCAACACCTACACTTTGTATGCTCCGTATGGGTGCGGCTTTTTAGATGTCCCCAAGGATGGACGCAAAATCTCCAAACGCGTTGTAGTGGGAATAGCATAAATAAATCAGCACGCCTGGCGAAATCGCATCTTGCCTGGCAGTACGCGGTGGAAATCAATTCAAGGTTCTATTGCCTATTTTTTGTCCGTTTGATTCCTAGAATTGTATACCGTTGTTTTGGGTAGTGCGCCTGTGAGCATCGAAGGCGCCCGGGTCAGTTTGACCAGTACGGATACTGCGATAGCAGGTACTGAGTAGAGACTGGATAATGTGAAGACAACAACAACATTCCATTGGGGCATAGCACGCGCTCTAGGTCGTCCTCGAGACTCAGAGTGGTGTTGCATCGTGGCCACGCGCTCGTCGCGCAGAGTGCTGTCGAGCTCCCGCACTTCGAGCATGCCCTTGACTCGTAGCCACCGCCAACATGCCGACCGACCGACCGACCCACCGACCGACCGTGCTTGACGCGAACAACGACAACAACACCCCGCCGCACAGGGTACATGGCGGGGTGCTGGAAGAGCTGCTGTGCACGACGAGCATCCCTTCCAGCGGGGACGTTGTTGACCCCGCCTCGCTAGCACCGGAGCTGCTGCGCTACATGAGGTGTTCCTGGAGCCCTGTCAGGTGAGGTCGTCGTGTAGAGAAGCCGAGGCGGTCTGTGTTGTTTCATGCTGAGGGGGGGGTTGTCCAGCAGTGCCTCTCATACGCGCTACTGCTATTGGTGTTTCGCAAGCCTCCCAGTAAGGTCGGTGGTAAACTTTTTTTCTCGCCGCCAGCCTATTGTCCTGCTTGGACATGCAAATGTATGTGAGCTACAAGGGGGTCTGGCGGCTCTCGCCGCCCCGCCAAACATATCGATTCCAAGATACGCGATCAGATATGGTTGGATACGTCTGCCATACGTTTTTGTGTTACAGATGGTAGAGATACTAGGTAGGGTGCTCCGTGATGATACACGGGGATCCTCGTGCTTGGTGTGCTGCACGCAGCAGCACTCCCTCTTGACGATGGCCGTGGTTATAAAGTGAAATCTTAAAAGGGTCCTCTGAAGCTCATATCTTGTGTAGCCCAAGTTATTCAGCTCCGAGCTAAGCCTGTTCGGGTCGCGGTTGGGTGTATGTCTCTCGGCGTTGCCGATAAACTGCCCGTCCAGGCCTACTGTTTTGGCGGCTTGGATAAGCGCCTTTCTCCACGAGTCGTACCCGTGGCCGCGACCGAGCCAGATGCGCGAGGCAGATGCAGAACGAGAAGAGGTACACATACATGAAGAGAGCGGAATAACATAGGAGCGCCCGAAAGATCTTGGAGATCCCGGAGAGACAGAAATGCGGCTCTGTGAGAGGCCGAGAGTGCCGAAATGGAGCGCCGTGAGAGCCCGAGACAAGTTTCTGCTGATCAAAGAGCAAACGTTTTAAATGTTCGTCTGTGGTCATATCTCGAATGGGTGGTTTTTCTGTGTTTTGTATTCTTGTTTCCTAATAAAATGTAACAAGGTTACACGTCATCGACTGCTGCAGTCCGCCAACACCAGGTGGGCGGTTTCTCGATGTCGGGGTAGGGGGGATGATATCATCGAATCACATACTGGGTGCTCTTGGAAGCCCTGTCAAATGAGGTTCTGTGATGTATGCGTGGTTTGACGGTGTCCAGAGACGTGTGCAACGTTACAAGTCCGACCTGAAAGCATTGTACACACAGATCATTGCCGACCAGCGGCCCTTTCCTAGCCTACTGATAGACACAGCAGTATCCACAACACTCGAAAATGGGATCGTGTCAGCACCGAACTTTTTCTCTCGGGGGACACCTTGCCACGTCATCAGAGCAGACAGCAGTTTGTCAGGTTTCTCTTAGGCTTGCTGCATGCAGGACAGGTACACGCATAGACTACTTTTGAGGCGGTGCTGGTATATCGTCGTCCGGTACCGTTGTCGTACAGCGTTCCAGCTGCATGCAGACAACACATCGGAAGCCCAGGTCATGAGATAGAGCTTTCTAGAACCTTTGCTGAAGATATGTTGTTGTACAGCGTCGGACGATAACTTGTATTCAGCCAAGGTTCATGAAAGCTCTATCTCATGACCTGGGCTTCCGATGTGTTTTCTGCATACAGCTGCAACGCTATACGACAACGGTGCCGGAAGACCATGTACCAACACCGCCTCACCAATATGGTCTATTGTCTGTCCTGTACGCAGCATTCCAAAGAATAATCTGCCGAACTACTGTCTGTGATTGTGACGCAGCGTATTAGCTGCCAGCCAGCCAGCCAGCCAGCCAGCCAGCCGGGCTAACAGCGCGGGTGTCTCAGTCGAAGCAGCTTCAAAGGGTGATCGCAAACAGCGTGTAGACTATTTTTGAGGCGGTGTTGGTATGTCGTCGTCCGGCACCGTTGTCGCACAGCGTGCCAGCTGCATACAGACAACTTATCTTCTGCCCAGGTTCATAGAAGCTCTATCTCATGACATGACGGCTGATATCTCATAACCTGGGCTGAAGACATGCTCTCTGGATACAGCTGGAGCGCTCTATGACAACGGTGCCCGACGACCATACACCAACACCGCCTCACCAATACTTCGTCCATACTCTGTCCTGCACGCAGCATAACGAAGAAGAGTCTGCCGAATTTCTGCCTTTGCTTTTGACGCAGCGTGTTAGCATGTCAGCCAGCCCGACACTGTCAACGCGGGTGTCTCAGTCAAAGCAGCTCCAAAGATTACACTCCAAATGTATACGAAAAGAAACATCCATGAACACGCGCCAGACCCGAGAACAAAGATATTTAGGGTCACACCGTTTCCACGCACCGTTTTCCTCGCGCGTCATGTCGAAGGCGATGTCCTGCCGAGTGCTACCCGGACGACGCACGCCTAGCCAAGGCCTTGGAAACCCTCGCAGCTTCGCACCACGAGGCTTCCTTTCTCGTCCCGGTCGGAGCTGTCAGGGCGGTGGACTGCCTGAGGGCCCTGTCGAAGGGCGGAAAGGCGTTGGTCATCGCCGGGGATAAGGGGTCAGTGCCACTATCCTTCCGCTGAGTATATTACCACACTTTTTCTTGTGTGCGTTTGCAGGAGTTCCTCAGATTTGAGTTATCCCAGCCCGTCGATGTATTGTTGTTTTGGCGCTGTTTTCTCCCGCCGTACGTTCCTAGAGCCTTGCCGTCAACTTCATGGCGACAGTCCATTGTTTGGCTAGCAACGTTTCTCGTGTGGTTCACCCTGGCATTTCCCTGCCGCGACAACGTTACGGGGCTGTATCAACCTGTCATTGAACCTCTTTCGGTGCTGCTGCACGGCGTGCGACTTTCCCCGGCATTCCACGGAAAACAGGTACGTCCACGACAGCGAGCTCGAGGGTACAAGAGATCCACACCTGGCCGTTCACGGGTCCTTCTCTTGTATGGTAAGTTCTAGTTTTTCTTCCGGATTGCTGCATATCTGTGATCGTTCGCATGACGAACGAAACCACTGCCGTGTTTTTTTCTTATATGGATCTAATGGGTATCCCCGAAAACCTTCTAGTGGCCAGGGTCAGGCTTCGAATCATGGTGTCAGCGAGCTGTTCTTGCAAAGTGAGTTTTTCTATCGTTTCCGGTTCTTGGTTGGGTGGAAAGGACTAGTTCTTGTGTACAACGAGGGAAGAGAGTGCTGCAATCTTCTCGCATTACAAATCGAAGACAAAGTACCGCAGGAGGGATGGGTAGGGGGCCTCTTCTGTGCGACCAGGGGTTGGAGTGAACGGCACAAATGCCGTGAGCGCTGATTTGAAGTGAAGACAAAAAGAAAGGAATGGATCTTTATCATTCCCCACACTACATCATGAAAACACCCCAATTTCGGTTGCATGCAGATACATGTGTCTCTGCTACCCACCCCGCCCGTTCTGACCACACCCCTTGAGGTACCTGTCTCCGCTTCCGCGAGTCCCTCGGGAGGCATTTTTATCGGTACTTTCATTTTGGGTTGCGAATATGGACCGTAACCACGGCCGGCTGGCTGCGCGTTCTTTTACTTTGGTGCAGGTAAACTTCAAGTTGTTGCACCTCATGTGCGAAGCGGAGGGCGGTTCTGTGCTTCACTCGCAGCACTTGGACGGGTTCAAGTGTTCGGCTATGGCCTACGGACTCGACCCCAAGGTCAGTTTCCGTGGTTCATTTTTCTGGTGTTCCATATTTTCATGGTAGTTTTTCACGTCCGGACGGGCCTCACATCAAGCCCAGACAAGCGCACGCCTATATTTGACAGGACGCTGGACGTTATGCCGTTTTGGGGTGTTCTTGGCTTGGCACCTGTGCTGCCCATGTGTTCGATACGACGTAGATGCGTTTTGGCGCGAAAACAGCCCCTACCTCGTACCAGACGATGTGGTATACCTCGCTCCGCGGGTGAAATCTTCCAAGGTTAGGTTCTGTAGGGTACGGGTAATGTCTGTGGGGTATTGGATCTGTTACAGAACCGGAGGGTAATCTCTGTAGGGTACGGGATGTGCTACAGAACTCACAGAAGTGTAGGGTATTGTGGCATGACCGTCACAGAACTCACAGAAGTGTTGGGGTATTGTATACAGAACAAGAGGGTAATCTCTGTGGGGTATCGGGTGTGCTACAGAACTCACAGAAGTGTAGGGTATTGTGGTGCAACCGTCACAGAACTCACAGAAGTGTAGGGTATTGCGGCACGACCGTCACAGAACCCACAGAAGTGTTAGGGTATTGTATACAGACCAAGAGGGTAATCTCTGTGGGGTACCGTGTGTGCTACAGAACTCACAGAAGTGTAGGGTACTGTGGTGCAACCGTCACAGAACTCACAGGGTAGGCTCTGTAGGGTATCTGTAGGGTAACTACAGACGGTCATTACCCTCGGTACCCGCGCGAGTCTCTGTATTTGCACACTGTGCTGTTTGCCTTCGTTCGACTCGGTTTCAAGGTACTAAACCAAGACTTGAAAACATGAAGCGTGCTTGCGTACGGCCCCTATATATCCCAGTCCTCAACTTCCCAGGTGACAGCGGAGGACTACTGCTAAAAAAAAAACATAAACATAAACAAAAAGCATTTCACGTTTAGACTATGTTACGTTTTCCTCTACCCTCTCCACTTCCCAGAGGGGGAAAAACCTGCACGACGAAAAAAAGATCAAGACTGAAAACCTGAGTGCAAAGGATTTCGTGGTGCGCCCCCACGACTACTCCTCGCCAGCAGGCAAGGGGCAAACTCCGTTCCCATCCGACTTTTTCCCAACACGACAGCAGCAGTAGCGAGAAGCGAAGAGGGGTCTCTCCTGACCACCCCACCCCCCGACAGTCAGTCTACACGCCAATGTCGTTCGCGGTGTTGTTCACCACGTCGAAGGCGGCCTCAGCGGCCTTCAGGTCAGCGTCCCTCGCGCCGGTGAACTTTGCGGTGAACTTTGCCGAGGTCTGCATCGCTCATGCTCCCGCTGAACCCGATACCGCGTGTCGTACGGTGTGTTTGTTCTGCTGTATGTACCAGATGTGTTCTGTTTCTCTGCTGAAGGAGGGTCTTGCTCTGTGTGTTGTGTGGTGTTTTTTGAGGGTACGCTTCAAGTTGGACTGACGTCAGCATCCCGGGGTAATCACAAATGTGGAGGGTAGTTCCACAAATGTTTACCCGTACCGCGGGTAATTGTGCCGCCGGCATACAGAACAGGAGGGTAATCTCTGTGGGGTACGGGATGTGCTACAGAACTCACAGAAGTGTAGGGTATTGTGGCACGACCGTCACAGAACCCACAGAAGTGTTAGGGTATTGTATACAGAACGAGAGGGTAATCTCTGTGGGGTACCGTGTGTGCTACAGAACTCACAGAAGTGTAGGGTACTGTGGTGCAACCGTCACAGAACTCACAGAAGTGTAGGGTATTGTGGCGCTACGGGCACAGAACTCACAGAATTGTTCTGTAGGGTAAAACAGAGGGTAATTACCCCCGGTATAGATCTGTGGGTACCCTACAGAACCTAACCTTGAATTTTTTTTTTTCTTCCTTTGTGCCAACGTCAAGAATTGCGTGTCTATGGTTGGCAATGGCCTGCATAGCCGAGTCGTCGTGAGCTTCCCAAGGCACATCCTGGTGTAGTTCCATGTTGTGGTGGATGATCGATGGTGTTACGAAAGACTTGATGTTGATAAATGCCATCCAGGCGTATGTGTGTCACGTCGCGTGAGAGGTATGTGCGTACATGTATTTTTACCTGTGTTGTTTCGGACACGGACACGGAAGACGAAAGCCTTGATTAATATCACTTACCCGTTGAGCTCACAAACCGGTCTTTCTCAGTTTTTCTTATGAACACCTCCCGCTTCTAGGCCTATCCACAGTTCCGGATGGCGTTCAAGGAGAGCACGGCCTGCTTCAGCCCGAACGGCTTTTCGTCCTTCCAGAGGCAGCTCAAGGATGAGTCCAGGGGACTAGGACTACGCCCCGCCCTTGCCCTCTTGAGGCTTAGCCAACACGACCCCGATGTGTTCTACAAGTTCAAGCAGGTAACCATAGCCTGTGTTTCTTAGCACGTGTATGCATTCGTGTTTGATCCTTTTTTTTGCTCTTCGAGACCGGCGGAATCTAGCACGCTAAGCAAACAACACGACCCCGAGGTGTGATTGGCAAGCTCAAGCTAGCTTTTGGTATCGCTGCTTTCAGTCAAGTAGATACTTCTTAATGCATTGAAAGTTGGGAGGCTGAGCGGTCAATGCAATCCCGAGATCGGGCTTGACGAATCCAAGCAAGATGGCGCGTGCAACACAAATCCGTTGCGTTGGTGATAACTCGAGCTCATAGAAAAGGTCCTCAGGACGTTCTCCGACCACCATCTCGATTCATTGTGGTGTAAAACGACAAGGCTTTTTCGTTCCCGTTCGATCCTCAATTTGATTAGATACGGGAGTATCGATATCCCCTGCTGATTTCGTCGCTGTGTGTTGTGCTGTTAGCCATATACATACATGTTTGCGGTGCCGCCCGAGCAGGTGTTCATCGACAAGGGGCCGTACGCGGGGGAGAAGCTACAGAACGACATCCGGTAAGCATCGGTACTTGGGCGCGGAAGATATCATCCACCCGCTATGTAACGCAGTGAACGTAAGATATCACACCCCCTGGAACGGTTTTCAAAGGTTGATTTATCCACAGCAGAAGGAGTGGTGATGCCGAAAATGGCGGCGTTGGAGCCGTCTCGTCGAGAGATAGATTTCCGAAATCGTGCCGTGTCATCTATGCATATCCACTGCGTCGTGGAGTAATCAAGATCGGTCTACGGGGTGTGGTATCTTGTGTCATCTACGCTCGATCCAGGGGCACCGCGTCTCTTGGTGCGTGGTGTGTAACCCCCAAGCGTTTTTCACCGGCGTGCAGTAAACTGTTTTAGCATTCCGCCAGCGTAGGGCTATCTACATATTCGCTAGTCGTTGCGAGTGATCGAGTTGAGGTAGCAAGCGATGGAAGGTATTGAGAGTCGCAAGTGTTATGTTTTTGGCAGTGTCGGTTAGTACCAACCATCGCCCCCCACTAGATGTAAGCGGTACCGTTTTGCTTGTTGGCGTGAGTCATTCATTGGGTAGTGGAAGTCGTACTCACAGTACCAACATGAAGCTGTGCTTGTGTACCTGTGCCTGTGCGTTTTGCTAGTCGTGCGTAGGCGTTGCGCCTATTGAGGTGTGCATGCCCCCGGCAGCTTACCCACCTCACCGTGTCTGCCCCCGTTTCAACAAGACCGCTGCACAGCGCTTAATTTTATCATTGGTGTGCCCTTTCTTGGTTGTTTTTTTTCCATGGGTCGTGTGCCGGGTGTACGTTTGTCCAGGCGGGACGTGAAGCTGGTTCACGAGCTGTACTTTCCCCTGCAGCCTTCCAAGGATGTCGCGTTCGAGATCGGGCGTATCTTCATGGGCCTCAAAGACTTCGACTCTGCTGCAGAGCTCTTCAGGTGCGCAAACCTTGTTGGAGGTAGGAACTGCCAGCACAACGCGCTGGGATCACGTTTTGCGAAGGAAATTGTCGTCTCTTGATATTTTCCCCGCGGAACAGCTTTGTGAGTGAATTGCTTCAGATTGCGTCTTGCACCGCTGTCAAGTTTTTTCCAATGATATTGTCGCCGACAATGAATGTTGGATAATATATGCTCTTAGTAGTCTGGTTCGCCTTGTGTTGTGTCCGTTCCCTACTACTCGTCTTGCCCTGTCTTGCCCTTTCAAAACATTATATCCGCCGTTTGAAAGATTATTGATACCTCTGGCAGGGGATGTGGCCGGTCCACTTCAGCTGTTGTATGAAGGACACCTTTCAAATCGGTCGCCCGCATGCCAGTGTCTCGTGAACTGATGACCTCCTTTGCCTGGTGTTGTTGTTTCGGCAGAGATTCCCAGAGATATTGCGGCGTGCACCACGTGAGCTGGTACAACATGGGAGTCTGCTTCTTCTATCTCCACCATCTCGATCAGGTACTCTACACCCAACAAGTTGTTTCTCAGCCCATCTTTTGCGCTCGTTTTCAGTATGGATGGAGGTCGCGAGTGTTGTTATTGCCGTCATCTTCGTACAAATCCGTCTGCTTTTTCCTTGGGTTGGTGACATATGTTTTTTGCCGTCACTCATGTGGTGTGCCAGCTGTACGGGGCTTTTCATCTACTGAATAGCTCCAATCCGGGGTCACCCAGAAGAATTTCTGCGCACGCAGTCATTTTCGAAGGCGAAACGGGTTCGGCGGTCCTTTCGTTCAGTGACGCGCAAACAACGTTTTCTACACCACTAGGTAGGAAATGCTTGCTAAAGTCGCAACTGTTTTCCTTGCCGTGTTTGAATTTGGCCATCAACTAAACGTTGAACTACCGAGCCGATCGCTGGCCATCAGGGTTTTTTTCTCCCAAGGCACTGGATTTCAAACGTGAAGGTCACATCCCAACCCTGAGCGTTCGTCCGAACAGCAGTGTCGATTGCCAAAGGAAACACGTGCGATTTCCGCTATCCTCCATTACGCTTCAAAGACCAAACAAGCCCTTCGAGGCCCGGTGCACGACTCGTTCCCTTCGGTAAGATCGCAACCCTCTTCTTCGCTGCAACAGGCAGAGAAGTGCTTCTCGGAAAGCCTGGCTCTTTGCCCAGACTACCCAGACGCGATTAAGTGGAGACAGAAACTCGCCGACGTGAAGGTACAGTACGACCACTTTACCGTACGTCACGTAAGACAAGACACCCCCTGTAGCCTTGTTCAAAGCTCCGTTTTTTTTATGACGATGCCGAAAATGGGGGCGTTTGGAACCGTCTCGTCGACATCTTTTTGACAATGCATGTTTTGAGTTTGTTTCCTCTTGGTCTGGAGTAGTCGAGCTTGTCTGTTTTCATAATCGAGATCGGTGGTTGTGTCTTTCACATGTGTGTTTCGAAGCCTTGGAGAAATGCGACCTTCCTTCTGTCCGAAGAATGGTACCAACAAGCCTGGGGCTAGAAAAACTTCCCAGCCCATGAAACACACAACATGTCCTCGCTCTCAGTAACCCCTACCCCTCACTTAAATTTCCGCCCTCCGGCTTGCTTGCCGCTGCTTGGTATTCTTTCTCTACGGTTGCATTTCGTGGTCGACCCGTGTGGTTGATAAACGGCGACTGCCCTAACGGCGGGCGGCTGCCTGTGATGGTGTCATCAATGCGTACGTACACGGCACGCAGAGCTTTCTGGCGGGGAACGAGCCGCAACACCCCCAAGAGCAGCAGCCTCAAGCAGCGGTGTAGTGAGAGTCAACGGTGTACACAGCAGTGATGACAGCTGAGCGGCATGGCATTTTCATTGGGGCGATGAAAAGTGTCTCGGGCTCTTGAAGCTTTGTCCCAGCTGGGGCTGCTTAGCCTTAAGAGTCGGCGTCAAGTATAGGCACGGGCCCCCTTTTTCATCCCCGACAGTGGACACGTACGACTCGAAAAGGGGATCGCTTTCGTTTCATTGGGCAACGTGAAGCTCAGTGCTTAGGGCCTTTCATTCGGAGCCATGTGCGCTTGTGTTTCGTGTTGCTTAGCTTCTCTCAGTACCATACTTACAAGTATGTGATTGTGCTGTGAACAGGGCCGAGAACGGTAATTTGTACACTCTGGAGTGATAGGACGTGCCCTTGGGTCCTTCAATGACGCGTCTTGGGGAAAAGCCTAGGTCCTTGAAGTAGCTTAAATCGATCCGCCTCTAAGTGGTGAAGATTTGAGCGTACACAGGTGTTGATACATCGAAATAACTCTCCCGACCGTGCTGTTGAGGGGTGGAGTAGAAGCGGGACTTGCTCTTTGTGTGTTTTGTGGAATTCTTGACGGATTCGGAATGTCCGCGGGTTCACCCGTGCGTTTGTTGTCGGGACGAAAATGTGCTCGTCTTGTGGTAATTCGGATAAAATGTACGCGAGCGACGTATTTGATTGATGCCATGCTGCTTGACGTGGCATCCGTAAACAGGGGGGTGGTAGGTGGCGCATGCCGTTTGTTTCCCAAGCTGAGCGGTCCTTGTAAATGGCGTATAATGTTTTATGAAAACGTGTGTTCGATTCCGTTTCAGGAGTGGGTGGACACCGGTCGTGTAACCCTGGTTGCTCTTCATCGGCGTTGGCATTGTCATGCAGAAGGCAGAGGAGATGGCGACTGGAACTGAGTGCACATTACTTGTTGCTGTCAAGATTCCCAAGAATTCCAATCGAACACTAGCATTGAAATAGGGTGCACTCAGTGTGTTTTTACCAGCACGTTTGCTTGTAGATGTGCCGATCGTGAACATCTCCCCGCGTTCCCTTGATTGTGAGGATGGTGTATGATGTACTGAAAACAGGAGAGAAAGGGTCCTTCCCAAGTGCCCTATTGGTCGCAGTTTTGCTTTCTGTCCCCCTACAGTACGTACCAAGGTTTTATTGGGGACGGAGAGCTTGCATCATGGCACAAGAATCAGGAGCAGGTTGGGACACTTCTACCGAGCGGCTGGAAGAGGAGGAACCACGTAGCAACGGGCGGAGTAGCAGCATCTCCAGTATGATAGTCTACCTTTCGTCGTTCTTCATTCGAAGACCAGGTGTATATGCTTTCTCTCCGCCTTTGTTGCCTTGGCATGGGTTAGGGTATTGTCTACCTCGACCTGGAGCTCGTCATCTCTGAGTGCCTTTGATATTGACCACTTTTTCTCGAGCCGAGCTGCTCTCGTTACAGATCAAGTTGATATTTTCCGTTGGTAGCCCTAAGTAGCCAGTCTACGTGCTTCAATGTACCACCGGAGTTGTGCGAGTGATGACAACCCCCGCGTTCATATCTCGATTTCTCACAACCAAGAGCGTGCGAAAACCGACCGAAATGTCCAACGGGCAGCTGTGGACGAGATCTTTCAAGCGCACACCCTTTTTTTGGCGTGTGATGGTCTTGTGTAGATACTTAAGCTATAGCCTTCCGTTTTATGCAGTCGAGCTATGGAGTACTACCGACCTATTTAGGGACGTGTAAGCCACCTCTCGCGCCAACAGCTCGTTCTCGGGCGTGAAAGCGATTTGTAAATATTTTTTAGTATCAGGCGATAGGATATGCCATAGGCTATTCCCCTTTAAAAGTATAAATATCGCAAGTGCAGATGCGACAGGGCTGGTGCAGTGGACCTCTTTGTTCACCGAAAAATGGAGGCAACTACCCCCCCCTATTAAGAGACACTTGGCCTTTGTGGCTGATTTCATGCGTTCTGAAGCGTTTCATGATCTGATTTTTGGTATTCACACGTCTACTGCTAGATTGGTTCGTTTGAGATTTTTTTTTTTGGGAACGATCATCACCCGGGGACAAAATACTCACATCCCCGGGTTCCCGGCCTGAAATCAGGGACTGGTTCTACCCCTTTGTGACCGTACAGCGGTGCTGTGCGCATGACAAGAGCCAAAACTAAGGAACAAATGCATAATCGATCCATCCATTCTGATCATGCACCGACTCCCTTAAAAGAAATAAGGATGAAAACCCTTGCGCCGCTGATGTTGTGCCCACCCAAACAGGCACTGTTCAGCTGGCCGCTACGGTAAGAATTCTCCCCAGCAACCCTAAGGCCATTTCGATGTTTTCACATTCACCTTAAACTCCCACAAGACGCCCTTTGGTGGGTACGTGTGTTCTAAACAAAGAACGTTGTGAAAAACAAAATAAACATGCATACCCGGGGACGAGGTGGCGATATCCCCGGTTTTGCGGCAAAATCAAGGTATCACCCCCCCCCCCCCCCCCCCCCCCCCCCCCCC